AATGTGTGTATCGAAGGCTGTGCGTCGATAGCTCAGCGGTCAGAGCAATGGTCGTGAATACCACTGTCCTGGGTTCGATTCTCAGTCGAGGTGCACACTTTTCTTCCGAATATCAAGCTGCTGTTAAACTAGTTTTCGTACACATGTTTAGCTCATACACTAAAATTTACATTTGTATTATCTAAGGCAGCATTACGAGCTTTCAATAAAATATAATAGGATTTTACGTAAAGCTTTCATGGCTTCGCTACTAAAAATATGTCCGTTTGCTATTCTAAGAAAGCCGGCAACATATAAAAAGTGCGATTCGGTCTTGTATGGTCCTGGTGTGTTCTCACTTCTAGGCGTGCTTGGCGATAAAATTAGTTTCCGTATAGTAAAAATCCTCATCACTATTTAATAGTGTAATCATAAGGAAGAAAATGTGTGTATCGAAGGCTCTGCCTCGATAGCTCAGCGGTCAGAGCAATGGTCGTGAATACCACTGTCCTGGGTTCGATTCCCAGTCGAGGTGCACACTTTTCTTCCGAATATCAAGCTGCTGTTAAAACTAGTTTTCGTACACATGTTTAGCTCATACACTAAAATTTACATGAAAGCGGGATTTTATTAAATACACGAGATATTAGCGAATTAACGTAGGTATTAGGAATTCAATTCAATATCCAAATTACATATCCAAAGCAAAGCAGTCACTACCCAAAAATCAAGAATTTGGTCTCAAATGAAAGAGGATGCCAAGTTCTATCGGATGAATAAAATAATTTCATGCTCATATTGAGGAACAAATCCAAAAGAACTCTAGAAAACTCTAGTTTTCCAGAATCCTGGCAGGGCTCGGAAGTATTGTAAAAAATTTTCAATGCACCAGTTGATAGGCGGTTCAATTCTGCACAAAACAAGGCGTCTCTGAAACTATTTTAACCTGCCACTTAAAAACTGTAGCAATGACTCGCGTTTTTCGATCCTTTGGAGATCCGCTAGGATTTCTGAAAAACTAGAGTTTTCTGGAGTTCTTTTGGACCTGTTCCTCAATATGGGCAGGAAATCATTTTATCGATTCGTATAGAATTCGGCATCCTCTTTTATTTGAGACCAAATTCATGATTTTTGAATAGTGACTGCTTCGCTTTGGACCTGCGGTCTCCGTCATTGGAATCAGCGCCCAAATCTGCATCTAGAAAGGTATATCTCGTTCGGGATGTCTTCTGATCCGGCATCTGATATGTGCAGAGTCCTACAGGAATCTATTCTTGGACCACTTTTCTTCTTAATATTCATTAACGATCTTCAAATGCTGTTCAAACCATGTGTCAGCTTTTTACTGCTGATGTCTCCCTGCACTCAACCGTGGATGATTCGCAAATAGCAGCAATTGTCTTGAAAAAAGATCTTACAATTATACATCAGTGGGCGATGACATTGGCACTTCCTTTGAATATTCTTAAATCTACAGCCATGTTCTTCACTTGCCGTACTGTATCATCACCATTACCTTTATGCATTGCAAACACAGTATACTCATTGCAAGGCTGAAGTATACTGATCAACATGTGTATCTTGATCTTATTCTAACCCCAAATGTGGATTGGGCTCCGCATATTGACGAGATATTTCAAAAACGAACACCCATTATTGGTTCGATGAAACATGCAAGTATCGAGTTAGTGCTGGATGATAGACCATTGGAATGTAATCAAGTAAATGGCTCATATATTCTGTGGAAAGTAGAGGGTGGTTGCGACTTTAACTAAGAAATACTTTTGGTTCTTAAGCCATGGTTCTAAGACATACGTCTGCATTAGGCCTACTGAATATTATAAGTTTTGTTTTCCAGGTGCTGCATGCCTAAAATTAATGCAAATGTTATCTTCGATACTCGAGGATTGGGCTTGTTAAGAGAATCGGATACTATATTAAATAACTAAATTATTACAATGACTGTTCTATCATCACAGCTTGTAGTTATTATTATTTATAAAGCATGTTTGCAAAATGTAAACTACTTAATTATAAAGCATGGCAGAAAATGAAGGCCGTTCGCTGAACAAGCCTGAAAGAGTACTTTTTTCATATCGTTCGCTACAAATGGGTCATGGATGATCCATCGTACTACTCAACATTGATGCAACTTTGATTCGATTCAACCTTGAAATTGACATATTCTACCACTAATTACTTTATTCTAATAGTTAGTTTGCCGTCAGCTTCTATAGATCAATGGTGGTAGGTAAAGGGTTATGAGCAACATCTAATATTAAGAATCAGTTAAGAAATAAACTAATATTAGAAATAAGTTAAGTGTTATTCGCAGCTTACTGTCCATCAAGCACTTGAACTGGTTCTTCCTCACATTTTTGACATACAGAAGCGTAAATTTTCGCGCATTCTTCGTGCACGTAATATAACCATTTGTCTCCCGATTTACACTCTTGCTCGGCACAATAATACCAAACCAACGGCATTAATCCATCGTCATTTTTTGACTCGCATATTTCGCAGCGATAGTTAGCATGTTTGTTTGCGTGTATGAACATTGTTAACTCATGAGGATGTAAAACGAATTTTTTCTTATTGCTACCGAAATAGCTCTTGAGCTTTCCCACACGATTATAAACGATACGACATGTGTCCGGTACAACGATTAATGCTGTCACGATTCTTTGAGCTCCTTCCAGTTTGAATTTCAGATGTTCACTGCTTCGCTTTGATGCTTCTACTTGAATTTTTCTCATTATCTCTTGTTTGGTAAACTGTTTAAAAAGATCTTTCTCTAAATGACGGATCTTTGTATCAATCTCTGTTTTCAATGTCTCGACGGTTTGCAAATACTCCGAAGAGTTTAATTCGGCCATCTTTGTCGGATTAAAATTTCCAGCATTTTTTGATGCAGCATATGATGCGCCCGCAGTAAACACGATGGGTATATTGTCATTGACCAATACTTGACGAATGTTTCTCTTAATATTTTCTACCTCTGCACATACGTCAGCAAACTCACACAATCGATCGAATTTATTAACAACAATAATCAGACGCTGTTCCGCTATTGATTTCAGTTCTTCATCTTTTGATTTGCATTTGAATTCAAAGTTCAAATGTTCGATTCTATCAACTGTGTAGTGTTCTTTTGTGCTTTGCTTCTTTCTGTTCGATCCTTATCTCTCTCAATCAAAATATATATAGCTTTTCTGTTCTGTGATGTAATGTCTCTCTTAATTCTCTCTATAACTCATCACAGAGTATGCAGGCTTTGGTCGCTGATCAAGGATATAAGCTGTATGGGTTGAGCAGCGGGAGTAGAACACACTATAGCAATGCACAGGATGGGGATGAGAACACCTCAGAGTTTACTTTTGGACAATTTAGTCCAAAAGTAAATTCTTTGCATTTGAATTCAAAGTTCAAGTGTTCGATTCTATCAACTGTGTAGTGTTCTTTTGTGCTTTGCTTCTTTCTGTTCGATCCTTATCTCTCTCTCTATCTCTCTCGAGATCTTTAAAGGCTTCTTTTATTTTATCGTCAATGACCAAAAGACATATTGTCATCATTTTTGTTAAATCAACGATCAATTGAGCAATATGGCCAACTTCTAACGGTGTTTCACATTTGCCTGTGTCTTCCTTCATGCGAACAAAATAAAGATTCCGAGTTTCATCTATGACAGCCTGGTTTAAGCCAGGCACATCAATAATTACATAGCGTAATTGTTCTTCAGAGGAGTTTGTGGGTTTGACAATGAAACCAGCTCGAGGCCGCAATGTTGTACCATTCAGATTGCCGTGTCTGAAGCCAAGATTATTCGTTAGCGCTTGACAAAGAGATGACTTTCCCACTCCCGTATCACCAAGTTGCATAATAATAACATCATATGGTTGCCGCTCGTAACGCTCCTGATCTCTTGCTTGCGCTTTATCGAGTTCAGGTTGTTTACAATTTTGAAGTTGTGTTTGCGATACAACTTCCGGCAAAAGAATTATCGGCTGGTCATTCTTGTCGTAGAAGTAAATGTCTCTCAAGCAAAAATCGTCTATGGAGAGGAGCTAGCTCCAACACAGACGTAACCGGACGGTTATCTATGACGCGGAGCTAGGTAAATGTACCTTTTTACCTAGTTAGCTAGCTCAACCTAGTAGTAAATCGAGCACTAGGTTGTCATAACGAGTAGGAGCGGGAGGTTGGCATCTAGGTTAACCGCCCAGTTAACCGACCGCTTAACCTAGCTCCGAAGACGAAAAATATTTAATCAGAGGGAGGTGGTCAGCTTGGTTAACCGGGAGGTTGGAGCGCCCGGTTAACTGGGCGCTGCAACCTCCCGGTTAAGCTAGCTTAAAAAATAAGAAAAAAAGAATATGTGCTTAACGAGAATCGAACTCGCTGACTAATGCGCCATCAGAATTGAGATAGAAGTACTCGACGTTTTAACCAACTAAGCTACCAGGCACATATGTAGTACTCGATAAGTGATGAAATCATTGAGACGATATTTTAGAGATTGGTGTTTTTACGTATTAAGAAAATATTTTTGAGAGTTGAGTCTGGAACACAAAACGTAGAAAATTTATTTTGCTAAATTTCATCTGTTGAGACCAGATTTTAAGAAATCATTCTTCATGGTGAAAAACAGTAAATCGGCTTGTCCACGTAACGCGACACTTCAGACATTAAGTATTTTTTTAAAGCTTTGAAATAGTTGCTTATGCCATGTTGTAGAGCATACTCGAAAGTGTACAAAAATGTATTTTGTTACTCAAATACTTATTTCTCTGAGTCCTTGGAGCGTATATCATAAACATTAATTGGAGTACTGTTCGTTGCAATTTT